AAAGCCAAACACAGCAAGATAACTACAGGTTATGAGATTATGTCTCAAAACAGATATGTATAAATATCAGCAAAACTGTGTTGCTTCTGAGTAAAACACTATGATACCATCCACCTCCTTTCAAATCTGCAAGAAGTACAGTATAAAACTGAAGCAGTTTGATTAGCATGGATCCAAGCTTTCTGTTTGCCATGGAAAAAGGCAGATTTTCTCCTTTACAGGAGAAAAATGCAGGAAACCGTGGGTTTCCCCATTCAGGCTGGCAGAGTGCCAACCTACAAGGGGCTGGGGGGAGTGGGACACAGGGTGCAGGGGGCACCATGTGCATATGCACATGCACATATGCACTTGGCAGCCAGGCAGGATGGTGGAGAGCAGCTCCTACGGCTCCCTCCGGGTAAGCCCCAGAGGACAGGGAGGCACAGGTGATGTGTGGGGACTGCAGGGGGTGCATGTACCCCCCAGATTTCTGTGCTTACAGTGGGGAGCAGGACTGCAGCTGGGCTGGACCAGCTCTGGGCAGGAGCTGCCTCTGTGGCCCAGCAGGCACGACCCCATGACTGTCAAAGTGAGGTACCCTCTGCCCACCTGGTAGCAGCACGGGCACAACTCTGCACCACCACTGTTACCACATACCATCTTGGCAGCCACAGAAGTGCATCGCTCCCTCCTGTGTATCCATTGGGCTGCAGAGAAGGCTCCTGCCTGGAGCTGATCTGGCCTAGCTGCAGCCCCATGCCCTGCTGTGGAAACAGAAATCTGGGGAAGGTGCATGCCCCCCCACTCCCCTGATGTGCCACCTGTGCCCACAAGGGAATGGAGGCGGGGGCCAGTGGGTCGAGAGTGAGAGGCAATAGCAGGGCTGGGGGGCTGTGGCGCAGGAGTGAATAGTACTGGCAAGGCCAGGGAGCTGTGGGTTGGGAGTGAAGGGCACTGGTAGGGCTGCGGGGGCTGGGGTTCAGGAGTGAGGGGTAGCGGCAGGGGCAGGGCACCAGCATATCAGGGCTGCTCAGCTCCACAAAGCAGCAGGGAGGACAACCATAGCTGGATCTTCATCCTAGTGAGTGAACGGGTCAGGGAGCTCTCTGATTCTCCATGATAAAAAAACTAAAATTCAGTGTCAAAATATATACATATTTAGTACTGTCACTGGTAGGTGTTGTAGGGCTTAGGCCCCTTCTTGGTCAGTGCCTTGTTTCCCAGTGACATCAGGGTGAGATCCGGGTTCGGCACCACCACGGTGGTTTGGGTGCTGCTTCTACTCTCCTGCTATGTCTTCGATGCTCCTTTTGATCTTTTGGGAGGCAGTTCTCTGTAGGTGGCCTGAGGGGACCTCAACCCTGGGTTTATTTGTGGGGCTCCAACTTCCCCTTTATCCCACCCCTTACCACATCCACAGCCTGAGCAGACACTGCTCACCACAGGTCTTGCCCTGGATGATCTCGCCTCATCCACACCACCCGCCTCTAGGGACTGGGCCTTCCTGGCTGTCAGTCTTCCTGAGTCTGTCCCTTGTTTCTGGGCTGGCTCCTGGGTAACTAAACCTGTCCCATCTAGGGTTAACTGCAACTGAGGAAACGTAACTGAAAATGGTCAGCGTCTGCCGATGGGCTCCTGGGATTCCATGTCCCTTGGTCACTTGGAGACTCATCCGTCCCTTCTATCCTAGTATGCATGGGAATGGGCAGCCTTCCTGTGCACAGCTGCTGTTGGCCCTCCCAGTGCAACCTCCCTGGGGCCCAGCTGACCTGTGGCTGGGCTATCCTGGTCCCACCAGCCAGCATTGTTTGCTCTCCCCGCCCAGGGGTCTGTGATCCTTTGTGCCTCTCTCACTGCGGCCCTGCCCAGGGTTGTCAGCTGTCCCTTGGGGCCATCGCCTGCCACGGTGCCTGAGCTTCTGATCAGAGCCCCACTGTTCCCTGTGGTGTCCCATGGGGCTCGCTTGCCCCTATCTGCTCCTGGGGCTTCTGATCTCTGCCCTGCTTCTCCAGGTCCTCCGGTAGGCACCTGGCCTCTTCCCCTGGCCTCCAGGGCTAATACTCCCCGACTCCACAGAGCCAGCCTCTTTGCCAGTGTTCCCCTTTTCTTTCCCTGGCACAGGCTTAGCTGTGTCCCCAGCTGTTTCTTGAAGAGCCCACACTTTGCTGATGCCACACCCCCTTCCTCCACTGTTTCGCAGGCTCAGGCAGCTCCGGTAGTGCCGAGCCTGCCCCGGTGTCTCTTCCCAGCTGCCACCCATCGTCTGAGTATTGGGGAACATCGGGGGGGAGGGGTCTGGGGTGTGTCAAGGGGGCTTTTGCCTCCCCTCTCACAAGTATTTATTTTGTTATGAAGATTGAGGCATCAGTAGCCTTTCAAATTGTTTTAAAATTGTAAATATATCAATAAAACATTGTGTTCAACTGATACCTATTTTATATATATATATTGGCATTTCACTTTAATCATGGAAAAACATGGATTTGGGGTTTTTAAATCAGAGAATTTGGGATCTTTAAATAGAGAAAACCAGGATCTCTGGGAAGCAAGAAATTCTCCTTTACAGTAAACCACTCCTGGAGATGCCCTACAGGTTGGATACAAGTTTTAAATTCAAACACCAATCATTTCAGTGTTAAATACTCTAGTCAAGTCTAGTCAAGTCAGTCCTGAGGCCGCGCTGCAACCTTTGGGGCACCCTAGATGCTGAAACAACCCTTCTAGGTTAGATGAATTGCTCTGAATCATTAGTGATTCTTCAGGCAGAGTGACCTGGCAGCACCCATCTCCTCTCTAGATATGGATGGCTGTTGGCTCACAGGGATCTCATCCATCTTGTTTTTAATCCTGCTGGGTGTCCACATACCCTCCTCACCAAGGCTAGCCCAGGCAGGGGCACCAGTTTAGTCACTGACAACCCGACCATGGAAATCGGCTGTCCTGGTTTATATGGTACCAGATAGCAGATCAAATGAGGCCTGGCCTGACAGGAGTGTTAAATACTAGACAAGACTTATTAGACACTTGTAAAAGAAGTGATAATATGTGCTACTTATCAGACAAGTAATTCACTGACAGCAGTCTCATTCAGTTTTTCCTGGGAGATCTGCTGCTCTCCCCGGAGAAACCAGAGTGTACAAATGTTCAGGCATTTTCTATCAGAGTAAAAACAGCTGTTCCAACAACCAGGGTTAAATAACTTCTGGGAGAGTTTCTTCTGGGACAGCAAATGTCTTTATGTGCTGCTTCTTTCAGAAGAGAACATCATCTTCCAGCATTCCCTCCTCCTGCACCTTCCCCCCACTTCAAAGGAGACTGTACACCACTTGCTCGACTCTGCTGCTTCAGCAAGGAGCAGAACACTCCTCCTTCACAATCCCCACTTTGTGCTGCACAGAAACATAAGCTGACCATGGGCAGTCTGGGTCACCAGTCAGGACTGTCCCTATGCACTGCTTCCTTCTGTTGCCAGGCAGACTAACAGAGCCTGCAGAGCACACCAAGATGTGTGCATAGGACCCCAGCTGCACAACGTTAGCACTGCAAGCTCTCCAATCTTCAGCGCCTCAGCATTCAAATGTCTGTGCATGTGGCTCTGGGTAAGATTATCTACAAAAAGAGCAAACTGGGAGAAGTCTCCCAAATTCTTTGAATGTGTGCATACAGCATTCTAAACATCTCTTCCCAGAATCCTGTCCTCTAGGACTGTGACTGACCTGTGCAATGGTAAGTCATCTCACATTATATGCATATACACTTACATGTATGACCAGCTCTAAAGTACCTGCTACAAAAGGAAAATATCTAAATTTAATGCAACTAACACAAAATGAATATATTACAGAACAAATGAATTAAGTGAAGATTAACAGATTTTTTCAAGCCTCCATTCCTGGACACTTTCAAAGACAGAAAGAGTTTTTAACTCACATGCCTAACTTCAAACCTGAAGTCCAGTCCTACTGAAATTAGGCCCATATACCTTGCTGATTAATATTTTTGCTGCCACCACACTATTCACTCTGCTTGTGTGTTATACACCCCATTTCTCACTTTGTCTGTCTTCTCTGTGCCAATGATATACTCTAGTCATCTACTATATTTTGTTCATAGAGGAGGTAGCAATATGGGGTGCATAATAAAAATTTGTCCTGAAAAATGGACTGTGTGCCATAGATTGCCACATACTCCCACACTGGAACCTTGAAGGATTTTTTTTTACAAGAAGGAAAACCTATAAATGAGAACTATTCTTTCTATGACACACATATCCAACACTATACAACATTTTCTTATTATGGATTTAATGTTTGTAACAGTATGGAGACTAAAATATTGCCAGTACTACTTGGCCTGGAAATATGCGCAACTTGTTCTCTCACAGGTGGAATATAAAGCCCATCCAAAATATGTACTAAATGTTCTGCTGGGCATAATTACTGACTGGAAATAAAAATAATTTTATTCAGTACACTAGAAAGATAAAGTTAACATCTCTTTCCTTTCTCTTAAGGGAGGATTTAAGAAAGACAAAAATGTAATAGAGATCTATCTTTCCTTTCATTTCACACCTGCAGTTATGTGCCCTTTCACTCACCCTTGCAATATTGCCTGAACTAAATTAGAGTCCAGCAGTAAAACAAGCAAGACAGCACAACTGGCATATGCCCCTGCTGTGCTCAGAAGACATTGTATTCATACGTGAAAGTCAGACAACTTCAAGTATGGAAGAATATTTTTATGTGAAGAATATGCGGATGAGCTTTTCAGTCAATTATGTGTACACATAATTAATCTATGCAAGTGTGATTGCTTGATTTGGCTCAGGGATACCTATTTGTGTACTGAATTACAAAGTTTTAAGGGTGCAATGACTGCACACACATCACCAAGGCTTGTACTCAATTCACCTTTCGCTTTGAAAATGTGATCCAAACTTGCATTTTTAAATTAGGCAAGTCCTATAGGAATCAAATAGTTAACTGTAATAAAAGAGGTTCTAAATCTTTTCAGTACTTTACCTGCATTTTTTTCTTCAGGCATGACAGTATGGCAGAGGGAAAGCAACCTAAAGAATTCATGTACTGTCCGATCTCTTAGTTGAATAGATTCAATCAGGCTGTGATCATAAAACTGAAACTTGCTATCTGCTAGTGGATTAAATGAAAAATCCACAGGCACAGTTTTCTGAAAGAGACAAAAAGTCATGCAATTTTCAAAAAAGGATTTTAAATAATTAATTCTAGCTGCATATTTGAGTATTAAAAGACTGTTCAATAATCAAACAAGCTAACATTTATGTGGTACATTTAGATGTGAGAAGCTTGCCTTTTTAATTAAGGTTCCTTTCTACTACACTAGTTTGATGGGGAAATATTGTTAAAAAAACATGGATTGGAAACATTTGTCATTTTCATCAGCAGAGGTTGGGACGGTATATTTTCAGGCTCTACAGGAACAGGAAAACTTATCATCATGCAATATGCTGACTGCAGTGCTGCATTCTACTTGATAGATTCAAAACTGATCAAGGGTTTGCTATTCTATTACCTTGTAAAGAGTAAATAAATCCTAATAATACTGACAGCCTAATTATTTCTTCTTTTAGCTGAAGGAGAAGTTCAGAAGTATGCTTCCTTTTAGGTTTCCTTTCCACTTTTTGTTTATTTAATAGTAATTTTTTTTTCTTTTATGGAAATATGTGACATCAAAAGACCATGCAATTTAGAATCTGTCAGGATCTTAGGGCAGCTCAAAAGTAATGAGGTGAAAAACTGGCCAGTTGTTTGGTGTGTTCACAGTAGGATTATTTCCTGCATATTCAGTTAACAGCAGCCAAGGAGCTATTCCTAGAATTCGTACTAGTTACTAGATTTCATCATTCTGTTTTAACAATTAGTTTCTACAAAGTAGTTGTGGTTTTGAAATGATCTTTTATAAATCTATCCCAATTAGAATGTGGGTTTATTCCCTTCATATTTTCAATAGTTCCTGAATAATTATATAATTACACCAAATGTAATTATGCCACATTAAAATTATTTTCCTTTTAATGTCTCTTGCATATACATATGTACTAGAGGTACACTGATATATTGATGGGATATTGGATCGGCACCGATAAAAGGAAAATTAACATTATCAGCTATTGGCTTTTATTGGCTGGTGTAGCTGATATAATGTCACTGATAAATGCAGCATGCATATGCACAGCTGCAGCATGGGGAGGACACACTGAGGCCCCCATAGTGAGGGAAAGAGTCGGGCAGGTGCTGCCCACCCAGGGTGGTGAATACAACCCAAGGAGTGAGACAGAGCTGCGGGTGGCTTGTCTGATGGGCATGGGAGGGGTTGAAGGGAGGCAGTTCCTGGGGGGGCATGGGAGACATGTGTGCCCTAGATTTGTGCATGGGGCGAGGGCAAGCTGCCCACTGTGGGTTTGGGACTAGGAGCTGCCTGGCAGGGGGGCTAGGCCAGGGCTGTGCTCAGGGAGGGTGGGGGCAGGGCAGGTGGTGCTGGGAGGGGTGGCTATGGGGTGGGCTACAGACACCCCAAAAACCCCCATAGCCACCCCTCCCAGCACTGCCACTGTCCACCCTGATTACAGTCCCAGCTCAGCCCCCCTGCCAGGAAAAGCCTAGCACCCACAGAAAAAACAACCATAAAAGAAGATGGTAAGGACTTGTCTGCACTTGGAAATGTATTGAAATAGATATTCTAGAGTAAAAGGGTGCCTGTATACGTGACCAGAGGCTGATTGGATGTGCTGTAATTATAGGACATTGGAGCAGAATTGATTAATCAAGTCTGCTAGAGTGTGCTAATTAGTGCACATCAACCAGCCTTAGCTTCTCGCGTATCAGCATCCCGGCATTTCAAAATGGCAGCAGGGAGGCTTTAACTAAAATTTGTTTGATGAGCATTAGATAAAAGTGCCCCCACTGCCATTTTGAAGCACAGGGATGCTGATACACAAGATACTGTGGGCACATTAATTAGAGTGACTCTCAGAGCCAGGCTTATTAAAGTGTCCCTGCCACCCTCAGAGCATGTGTAAAAACATCCAAAGTGTGTATCTAGGGGCTTATATTGAACTAACTACACTGAAATAATTATTACAAATGTAGACAAGCCCTGAGAAGGAAAAGATTTGTATTTTCAGTCTTGTCCATTTTTTATTTAGAGTTATTCTAAAGAATATTTAAAATAGAATAGAAAATTAATGACAACTTCTCCTATTGGTGATAGGATTTTAAAAATGAAATAAAAATAAACTAGAGTACATCATAAGGTTTAAAAATTTGGTCATATCTATACCTCATTAATTTCTGTTTTCCGGCCCAGCTCATCATATACATCACCTATAAAAAAAAATTAAAAATGTGAATTCAGTTTCAATTCTACATTTTTACAAAATACATGTTTTTTGATTTTTAAGCTATGGATGTAGACTAAAAAAAGGAAACATTCATTTCAACAACAAATAAATAACAGAAAATACTAAAAGGGATTTCAGAGGTCTACTTAAATAATAGAGAAACTACATAATTTTTGTGGGTTGGTAGTAGCATAAATAGCAAATTCCACAGGTACTTCCTGGATGTGCTACAGCAGCCCAGCCCCTTGATGCTGATAGGCAGAGAGGATCCAGCAAGGGGAGGAGGGAAGAGGACGTGACCACCACCTCATCTGCTGACTGCCCTTCATGTGGCCCCAGTGCTGACTGGCAGACAAGCCCTGGTTGGGGGAGGAGAGACAAGGGGGCAGCTGCCATCTTGCCTGATGCTCTTCATGCCTCCCTGCCAGCCAGCACCTCCTCCCCACCCCAGGCAGGCTGAAAGTCTGGGCTGCAGCAGCAGTGAGGACTAGTGCCTCCCACTGGGAAGCCAACATTTTATATTAAGGTTTTTTTTTAAGTTTACATTACACACAATCCCAGATTTTGCAGTTTCCATGAAATCCATGGAATTGAGTAGACCCTTACAGTCAACATTTTCATAAATTAAGTTGTTTCAGTTTAAGTCTGTAATGCCACTGTATTTTTTCTCTCCAGCTATGGCATATAATCTTGTGCCAAAGCAAAATTCTGCAAACCCAGATATATGTAAATAACTTTATCTGCATGACTAAAGCCATTTGTTACATAGTTGCAGAACTGAGCAATAAAGTTTTATGCAGAGTTCTTTAGATTTAATTGAGGGTCAATAATATAATATTCACTTGCTCCAAAACTAATCTTTGTATTATATTATCACCTAACATTCCCTAGGTTTTACTAAATGGTATGCCTGGAATAGAGCAAACAGTAGTTATTTAATCATTGTAAGGTGTTATGTTAGACAGCCTGCAAGTTTTTAAAAAATGACCTGGTATAAAAAGAACTGGTCTTTTTATACCATGTAATATATAAGTTTACAAGTCTAAAACTCATGTAATACATGTATCACCTTTTGCCTCAATTTATTAAACGTCTTTTAATTCCATATTTAGACAGCACAGTACAATAACTCATTCACCTCTGAAGATCTGGTATCAAATCTTGAATTATAATATACATGAAAAGAAGTTAGGTGGTTTCAGGGTGGACTATGGGATATCAATCAAAATTAAAGTGTTGCATGACGGGCACTTGGAATATCAAATATGAGATCTGAGGCAGATCACAATTTTATTAGTAAAGATATGGGAAAACTGGCTCAGCATCTCCCTTGTGCTAATCAATCAATCAGTCACTTTCATGACATCAGGCTACTTTAAAACAATTACATTTAAAAAGACTTTTCAGCCTGTGAAAGGAAGGCAATAAATATTCATTAAAAAATGATTCAGTTCTTCAGAAGGGTGCCATAAATCATTGGTGACATGTGAACTGAATTTATATACATTTATTTTAATGTTTATGCATTATATTTCTTCTCTTAGTTTTAAGATAGCTAGTTTTGTTATCTCTATTCTTCAACTCAGTAATAAATCCTTAATTTAAAAAGATGAAAAGGCACCATTATACCCATATTTGCATTATTTTAGAGACAAATAATACATCTCTCTTCTCTCTCTCTCTCTCTAACAAAGACTGATCCAAAATTAACTGAAGAGAACAGGAATTTATGCTCTTTTCACAAAACTCTATGTGAACTCTACGTTTATAAAAAAATGTCTAGGTCATTTTTAAAGGAGCTAAGCTCAAAATCAGAATCTGAAATAAATTACACTGGCAAAAGACTAGTAAGCAATAACTTACCATATGTTTTCCCATTAATAGAGCATTTGTTAAAAGTCATTATGTTCTGAGTGAGCGTCCCAGTTTTATCTGAGAAAACATATTCAATTTGTCCCAGTTCTTCATTAAGTGTTGTAGTTCGAACCTCAGCAGGGGTATCATTTTTGGCATAATACATTTTACGATCCCAGTTTATGAAGTAGCTATGCCCAAGCCGAATAACTTCCACACTTTTAAAACAGACACACAAAAACACTCTTCAGAATTTAAAGTCTTTCAAATGAAAATCAATCATACTCAGAACTTAAATAAAATTAGTTTTCAGATTTCAGTGAATGAAACTCTGTGCATATTGTACATAATATGCCCCAAATAATCTCAAACTTCAAATCATCTCTGAAAAGAAAGAGTGTGATAAGAATACTGCTTTATTTAAAGTTTACATAAACTTTATCGTGTTTTGTCATGTTACAAAGCAACTTGATATACTGTAATCAAATGAGAACAGAATAGAAACTTGTACTTCCAATATTGTCAAGTCTTTTCAGGTTACTACTTTTGTATAGTGTTATCTTGTCTACTGCTGTGCTCTGCTGAATGGAGTTCTACAGCTTTTCAAGTGTTCACAGTTTCCCTCTTCTGTACGGACAAATAAGTCATTCCTTTGCATTCAAGTATAGGTCTGATTTTTTTTAGAATAGATCTTATAATCTTTATCTCAAAAACATTTAGATGTGGTTAGCTAACAATGGTGCTTGTCATTATATAGGTAACATACTATTAGAGTTATGCCATGACTCTTTGGTGCGCACTATGACCAATAATATGACCTACTTACATGCCCTAAAAAGAGATTATGCACTTTAGTTCAATCCTAAAATACCCTGGAACAGAAGATGGCATACAGCTGAGAAGGCAACAGGGGTGGCTCTAAATCATCTTTTTACCTCCCCCGATCCTAAACTGATCATGGGTCAAAAACTGGGACTCACTGGATGTTAGCCTCCTCTAAAGGTTGCACTGGCTTATAAAGGTGTTTTGTATCCCCTAAACTCCAAAACATGAACTTTTTATGTATTAAACCATAGAAAAGCAGTCACAAAAAAGCACTTGTTTTGTTCACAAACAAAAAGCATTCTTTTGTAACCCGGCTGAAAAGGCCAACTTGGATGAGTTGCCCACATGACCAATATCACCACAAGTGGTACTACTGGTCATATGGACTCATAAACATTCTGACAAAGCTCACTGAAGAAAACAGGAAGGTTTAAACAGTTAAGGCTCAAAACGTACCTGGATGGTGAACAATCAGAAAATGCATGCAATGTACTTCTCCCTCCTGGATAATAGTAATTTATTTGGGATGATTTTAAAGTGTACACTTTAATTTCATGTACAATTGTAGCTCTTAGATCTTTAAAAAGAGCTCTGCGTTACAAGACTTTTCACTTAAGCAGTTTGGTTTGGGGGGGTTGTTTGTTTTTACAAAACACAGATGCAGGCACAGGTTATACTGTCGTGTTTACTGTCTACATAGAACATAAAAGGAAGGCCATGAAAACTTGTGGTTAGGAACTAGTTTTGCTTCAGACTTCGTAACTGGATATAAGTTTTAAAAGATCCTGTGACACTGAAGAATGAAAGGTAACAAATACATTTTGTTGCACTCCTCATTTTAATAAGCTTGATTGAATTTTGACCCTACCAAATACAACAATTCTCCTTTAACTTCATCATTGTTTATATTGTTATAAAAAACAAGATTAATTTCATGAATGACAAAGATTTTAGCAGCTCAAGCATATAAATACTACTCTTAATCCAGCTGACAAACTGCACCTGGAAATGCCATATCACTTATTTTTCAATTTTAAAAAAATGGTTTTGAAGGAACCAGAAAGTTATTTTGGACTATTTTACTAAACATTTCCCCTAAATATCACCTAACTTCATTGTCAAAATTAGCAAATATAAAAATAACAGTTTTGTGAATTAAAACTGAAAATATGGCTAGCCATCATTCAATATACATTATGAATGTTATATTCCATATTTTTCAACTTTACAAGGCACTGTGATAAAATATAAAGACTGAGTAAACATGGACATTAGTAAACATTAGTTAAATAGTAAGACCCTCTCATTTATCTTTTCAGCACAAGACCAAAATAATTTTTCTACATAAAGCTCCGATTTAAGTAGAAGAAATTACATATGAAATACCAAGGATGTTCTAAGAAAAAGACGAAAAATAAAATTATCACAACAAACAAAGGATGCAGTACAACAAAAGGTCAGACACAGGGAATGACAGAGATGTCCATCACTGTTTACTTGTCAGCTGCTGGAGAATGAAGAAAGGAGGAAACAAACGAGTTAACATAATTCAACAAAAATGAAAAGGAAGGGAGGGAAAGAAGGAAGAAGGTGCTAGACTCCATTTTAAAGCCACATCTTCACAATCAGGGTTAGATAAAGTACACAGCAGATCAAATTTCTAAAAGAACTGATCAAACTGTTATGATTACAACTGCAATTATGAAAAGAAGTTGATAGGAGCAGCCAGGTATGCTTTATAAACTTACAATTTCTCATCTTACCTTACATATAAGGAAATAGGCACTACCGTATTGAGTATGATAATGTATGACCAAAACGTTAGAAATCCTGAAAAAACAGAACTGTTCACCACTTCTTTCCAATAAAGGTAAATTCTGAAACGGGCCCCAACCTGATGTTCCCAAATTGAATTTCCTATTGCCAGAATGATTCCCATACATACCAGAAACCCAAAGATCTGAAATGAGAACAGCAAAAACAGTTATGCTTTTCAAAATACCTATTTTTCCCCCGTCATATGGATCTGTAGAAAAGATTAAAACAAACCCATACATTTATATTTCATCTTCATATAAATACCTGTATTGCCTAGTCAAAGCAAATCAGTACTTAAGATCCAAAACAGAACTATCCAAGAAAAAAGAGTACTTTCACCTCTAATGGCCTAGGAAAAAAAAATCAGTTTCCTTTCAACTAGAGTCCATATTCCCCAGGGCTCCTTCATGGGTTTACAGCAGACAGTCAGGCCTACACAGAAGTGTATTTGCAAGATGAGATGCAAGGAGCCTCTTTCCCCAACTTTTCTGTGGTATGTATTTATGAAATATTGCAGTTACTGAATCCTAGATTCTAAGGGGAGACCATGTCCCAAGCTCCCTTTGCACTGGTCCATAGGCAGACCAGAGAAGGTGGGGGAAGGAGGGGAGAGGATAAAGATCCATCACATAAAATAGTTATAACTATACACATACTACCATAATTCTACTAGGTGATATTTTCTTCCTCCCTAGGGTGATTCAGTTCTATTCTACCACATCCCATGCACTGTGACCTAAAGGTCCAGTCCAGCCTTGAGTAATGACTTCCAGAGTTGGTGCAACATCAGTATAACCCATATTATGAATAAATTCTAAATATACGCTGTTACAGGAGTTGGTGAGAAGGTATTTTTTATTGGTGTGGAACGTAAACATACTAGAATCATTCTTTGAAAAGTTTAGTTTAAATTGTATTAGTTTAAGTCACAGATAAACGATTAATTTTAATTGTATGAGGGTACAGAACAAGAGTAGGCAAAATATGGCATGTGGGCCAGATCCAGCTTGCTGGACAATTCTTGTCCAACCTGCAGCAGGCAGGCCCTTCAGCCTCACTGAGCCCAGGGGCAAGAGGCATCCCAGGCCATGGCACATGCAGCCAGTCCCACAGCCTCTGGACACACAGCAGGGCAGTGTGGCTTATCTGTGGTCCCTGCACCCTGGCCTATCCACCCTGCACCCAATTCTGGGGGTGGGACCCATGTGGGCAGGGCGCACAGCTGGGCAGTGGAGATGGAGCTACAGGCCGATGGGAAGCAGCATCTGGGAGCAAGATGGGTGGGCGGAGCCGGGTAGACTCCGGGATCTTGGGGTGGTGACAGCATGGGGCCAGGGAAAAGTCAAGATCTGCTGCCCACATGCCCTTGTGACAAGTGCCAGTTTTGCAGACACGGGAGTGTGCGGAGTGGATCACAGATCTTCCCCAGCCCAAGCTCCAGCCCTGTACTGTCACTGTCCCAAAATCCCAGCTACAGACACAGCTCTCTGCCTGCCCCTGGCCCCATCCCATCTGTGCAACTCTTGGTCAGTCTCCTTGGAGACCCTGGGATCATGGGGTGGTGACAGTAAGGGGCCAGGGTAGAGCCCTGGTTTTGCAAACAGGGACATGGGGGAGCATTGAATGGCTCTGTCCTGGCCCCAGCCCTGGCACTGTCACCACTCCACAACCTGGAGTCTTCATGGAGACCAGCCAGGAGCTGCGCAGGCAAGGCACTTGGCGAGGCAGCTGGGATGGGGCTGCCAGCCAATGGGGAGCTGCATCTAGGAGTGGGATGGGTAGATGAGGCTGGGGAGACCCCAGGATCTTGAGGCAGTAACAGTGTGGGGCTGTGGCCGCGGCAGAGCCACAATCTGCTCCCTGAACCCCCCGTCACAGGGCCATGTCGGAAGCTGATTGCGGCTCTGCCCCAGGCCCCAGTCCTGCACTGTCACCAGCCCGTGACCCCACCCCATAATCCTGGCCTCATCTGGCCATCCCACTCCTGAACACAGCTCCAGCCTGCCCACAGCCCCATCTTGCATAGGGAGTTTTGGTGAGTTGTTGCATGGGGGGCCAGGAGGTGAGTGCTGACCCAGACAATGACAGCTCAGCAAAACTCCCTATGTAGCTCATGGGCTGAAGTAATTTCCCACCCCCGGTACAGAAGATCTGTGCATAACTTGAAAATGCAAGTAGCAATGCATGCACATGAAAAAGGTTTCACTATTTCTCTCATGAAAACTTCTCTTAACACCCAAAACTCGACTTTTGGATTACTCAGAGAAAACGTTTATGCAACTCTGCAAGTTTTCCCATGATCAAAAGCACAACACTTAAAAGTCAGAATTTTAAAGTCAGCCTATAATAAAACAACAGCATTTATTTTACCAAGAAATCAAAAGGAATTTGGATGCATTTTATCTTCAGCTTTAATTCTAGAGAAGCCAAGTTTAACATAAAAATAATATACCCAAACTGGTAAAATTCTGCAGTGAAAAGCTTCCACACCTAAACTCTCAATACATGGTAGAAACCTGCCATAAAAGGAAAATTAACAGGAAGAACACAATCCTGCTCCCACTGAAGCTGGGAAACAAGAATGGTGAGCAGAAACAAGAAACCATAAAAGTTTCTCTGCCTTTATTCTTCAGTTCGTCATACCAGTGGCCTCATGCACAAATCCTGCCCTAGAGAAAAACAGATTGCTACTGTTTTCAAGTAGTCTCATAACATGACAGTGCTTAACAACAAACTGATTTTCAGGTTGTATGCATATGTCCCTCAACATAATGTATATAACTGTTCTGAAGTGTCTACATATTAATATTGTACATTTCAGAAATAGATACAAGTCCAAAATAAGTTAAATGAAATTTCACAATACATATTAATATCTAATGATTTTTCCTGATCTGACTATAACAACTTACCCATAAAACTAAAGTATTCATCAGTCGGTCAATGCTTGTTCTTTTAAATTTAGTTCTACCACTGTTCTGCATTAATTTAGTGTCAGGGCCTATAAAAAACAAAATGGTAACTGATCATTATTTAATTATTACATAATATATTATTTACAAGAAGTATTCATATATATTGAAGCTATTATTTCCTAACACATCATAAAGTAAAATGTGAAAAACTGAGATATGTTCCAACTTGTAAGTGGTCTATAAATATTCCTGAGCTTTCATAACAGAGTTTGAAAATTCTTTAGTGATTGTCCAGTGGAAGTTATGGCTGGGCAACTGAAATCAACATCAAATTTAAATTCAGATTACTCCAGTGATCTTTCATCCCAGTTTCAGGTATTATCTGAAAACTATCTACAAATGTAGGAGCCAGGAGTTCTGTGGACCAGTCTTGCCTCTACCACAAACTTCCTATGAGATGCTGGAGTAAGACATTTCACCTAACAGTGCTTCTGTAAAACAGGCACAGTACATAGCTACCTCAGCATAGCTTTCTGGGGCTTATTTAGCTGGTATCTATAATGCACTTCCTGATGCTCAATTAGAAGGTGGCACAGAAAAGTTAATTTTTGTATCTTTAACTGCAATTAGTTTTCGCAGTCCTGTAGCACTGGCCAACAGAAAAGTAAGCACTCAACTTTTCTGATTACGTGTGATTGCTCAAGCCTACCAACCCTCTTCTGGACTTGTATGGAATACGGCCAAGTTGTATGCCCATGGAGAACATTGAGCACGTTAAGTAATGTATGCTAAAATCCACACAAATGATGAATGCTGTCAACAAGGCAAATGAGTTTGATGATATATGATAGGAAACCATACAATTCATGGATGCTCCTTAGGGCAAAGCCTTTTCTAAATAAAAAAAATGTAACAAAGTATCTGGTCAAGGACATGTTTGTAAGGAGAACAAAAAAGAAATCAAACATAATCAATGTATTGGCTAAATTCTTGCCACATATATATATATTTTGACACACCTGCAAGTTTCCCACGAATGTTCCAAGCACACTTTTGCAGCTAACCCATAAATAAAATTATTCAGGAGATGTGATGCCTTTTCTGAGGTAGGATTTTTGGATTTTAAATGTGCATTGCTCTTAATTCATACTTACAGCGTAGGCAATATATCTTTCATTCAGATCACCTGGCTATAGCTTTGCATGTCTTAATTTGATTATATTGCAGTTACCTCAATCTCAAAACAAGCTAGCATTTGTTTAGCATGTTAAAAGAACAAAAACATTTTTTAATGTTTCAGACACATAGTATAACTTTCTAGTCAATTATTCATCTATATACAAGATGGAAATAAAAATTCTATGCAACTGAAAGCAGAAAAAGTTAGATATATTCATAGTTTATATTCAACCTGAGGTTTCATCTATTATTCCTATTATTAAATGTTTATGTTACCACACAGAGATCCAAGTCAAGAACAGTTATCCACAGTATTCAGTAAATCAAAGTCTAAGCACTAAAGAACTTATAATTTGAAGAGAAACAAAGGTTGAATAAGGAAAAAATCAGAATCATACAACTGTTATACCTTTATGAACATGCATATTTAGTATGCATACACACACAGACTCCCACACCTCTGTGCACATACAGTATATCTGGTATTTCGTTTGACGCAAATATATGTCAACACAAATAAACATCACCCTTCCCTTGTTGCCCCCAGTAATCCAGCCACCATCTGTTAAGATGACACAAAAGCCCACGCTCACTTTAGTCAGTACGCAATTTTATAGCTGAATCTAGACATAACCTTATTTGGTAAGTAATTTTGCAGCTGAAAACCAGTATGTTGAATCACTGTCATGATACTGTGTAAACTGTTCATAAACCATTCACAGTATCAGGATTTTCTTATTCTCACTTTATTTGCATTGCTGGGATATATATAAGTCTAATATATTTGTGAGTGACCACTGTAATTTTGCAAACTTCTTACTATTTTTTCCAGGCCATGTAAAGTTGTGTTATTTTTTTCATCAGACATTATGGTAAATATTGGCCTAAAAATCTACTTGCTTAAATTCATGACAATTGTGCAAGCTTAACTCTTATATTCAGAGATTTAAATCTCTGATACCCCTTAACATTTGAGATTTGAACACAGATACATTAAGATGGATTGTGCGTCTGTTAATTTATCTGTTGCTAACTCCTGATTAAATGGACAAGACGGCAGATATTTCAGTGTACCAACAACTGGGATTTCTAGTTCATAGGAAAATTCAATAATTTAAAACAAAACCAATTTTTGCAAAATTTTCTGTGAACAAGAAATATTTTTAAAAAAATATTCAGAAATACTGAAGCTTTTGTTTCTGAAATAAAACATACTCTCTGGGACTGACTACTTTCAGCTGACCACAAGGAGCTACTAACCCCCCCTAGTCTGCAGTTCCAAGGACTCACTATTACATGAACTCCCAGAAGCCAGCTGTTCAAGGGCTCCCAAACTTTCCACCCCAGACTTAGTCCTCAGATTCTACAGTAGTACAGAAAGACAACAGGCATGGGAGTCTGAAAACTCTAGGGTCCTAGCCCCAGACAGTATAGTTGGCATGCCTGCCCCCAAACTGTTGGTTCCTTGACTACTAGGTTGCCCAGCACAGAGCTGGAAGCCAAGCATTCAGGAAGAAGCCTAGGAATCCAAAGGCTCCCAAATCCTGATAAGGAGTCCTGGAAGTACTCAAAGCCTCAGGTCCGTAGGCAGCAGAAGAGGGGGGCTACCGGGGCTCAGCCCTCCCAAATGCAGGGCAGCAGGTACAGCTGCAGGACAGCTCAGATGCAGGCTGCTGCTGCAGCAGGGGGGAGGGATGTACATACTCAGATACCCTGCGTGGTCAGAATTGCACCCCTGGCGTGTGGCTGCCCAGCATGACAGGTAAGTTTCAATCTACTTTCTTTGTGACTGGGCTTGCGAGGGGGCAGATCAAAATCCCCACAGTGCAGGAGGGAGTGGGACAGGGGCAGGGGTGAATCATTCACCCCTGTCCCACTCCCTCCTGCACTGTGGGGATTGTCCCATGACATGGCCCAGACAAGGCCTCATTCACCCTGAGTGGGGCCCGGTTCAGGCAGGGTCCTAGGACAACTGGAGCCTGCTGGCTCATTCAGGGGCAGGGGGGCGGCCACCGTGTGCACTGTGGGGAAGCATGTGCCCCCTGATCTTTGCGCGGGGTTGAGGACAGGCTGCCACTGAGGGCTGGCCTCTGCTCCTCGCCTCTGCACCTCGCTGTTGCTGCTTTGAAAGCAGTGCAATGCCAGCAGCAGGATGCATATGGCGTGGGGGTCTCAATCCCCAGGCCCAGCCCTACTCCCTCCCTCGCCGCCATGGTGGAGGGGTAAATTGAGGCCATGTGCCTGCCGCCACTGGGCTGCACTGCACCCCATGCACAGGACACACATGGCACCACATGTCTTGGGGCAGCAGGGCTCTAAGCCCAGTACATAACAGCAGCCACCTCCACCCCACACACAGATTGGAGGGGCACGTTCCCTCTGGGCCTCCACTTGTCTCACCACCTGGCCCAGCCAGGGCCCCACTCACCCCAGTCTCTGCTCCTGCCTGTGCCCTGCTCCCTCCCTCATCACTGGGGCCTCAATCTATGCCCTCTCCCAGCCCTTTCCTCTCCCCCTGCCCCTTCCCTCACAGACTTACCTGCTGGGGGGTGGGGGTGGCACAAACACACTCAGCCCCACCAAATAATTGTTTCTCCCTCCAACTATGCTCATGTCTAACAACTATTTTCAGATGTCCCAGGTTCCCTCATACTGTAGTGTAACTGGGGAGTGAGAGCATGGCACCAGCCCAAGGCACTGACTATGAAGGAACACTAGTTCCTTCAATCCCACCCCCACACACACATCTCTAGGAGTCTCTACCACAGCAGGCGCAGCCCTACTATAGGAGCCATGAAGCACAACCCTGCACCCAGGAGTTTGGACTGAGAGTTTAGACTCAAACACCCTCCCACGTCTTCCAGGATTCTTAGGTTCCTGGCTTCTGAAAACCCCTGACTTGCTCCTGGAAGTTCTAGGTCCCTGGCCCCAGGGAAGTCCATATGATTGGGCTTCCCTTGCATTCCACCATACAACCAGAAAGGAAAATGTGCCTGCCTACAATTTGCTGCAAGTATCACTGAGGTCAAGATGTTCTTGTGAAACTCCTCAGGTCCAAATTTTACTGGAAAATTTCTGGCTAGTTTTAGTCAGGATGTCTGCATTCCATTCCTGCCATCACTAGTGACTCACTATGACACTTCAGAGAGGTCAGCTTATTCCTCTGTGCCTCACATTTAGGCCTACCTGTAAATGGCAGATAACATCTACATTCAAAACATTTTGAGACCATTGTACCAAAAGCACTATCTGATGCTGTTGCACACTTGTCCCGTGATGGGGGTTTAGTCTTCTATGTCCCTTAAATTGAAATGCTGGGTTTTTAATTTAAACCCACCATTTCAATTTAGAGGTTTTATTTTACCTTTATGTTACAGTGAGGGAGCCTGCCTATGGCTGAGGGGTGAGCTACCGGCAGGCCAAGTGGCTCCTCAGCTGCAGGGGGGGCCCTGGTCCTTTCCTCCATGGTGGAAGCACTCCCCCCCTCTTCCCCCCTGGGAAAGAGCTGGATCAGGCCTGGTGCTGCTTCTCAGCTGGGGCAGCACCTGGCCTGCTAACAGCCAGCCCAGGCAATCCCAGGGGCACCACCACTGCAGAAGGAAGGACCTGGGCCCCCTGCAGCTCAGAAGCCACTTGGCCTGCCAGCAGCTCACCCTCCCCACCCCTCAGGCAGGCTCTGGCAAAAAAAAAAAGGATCGGGCCTCTTGCTGCTTCTGGCAGAAGCGGCAATGGGCCCAGATCTTTTTTCTGCAGAGCCTACCTGCCTCTCCTGGAGCTGGGGGATGAGCTGACTAATAGCTGCAACATCAGGTGTAGTTTAGTTTACAATGATGCAAGCTCATCTAAAACCCTCAAAACTGGTGCACATGACAACATTAAACCACACAAAGTGACATTTTCGTCACGTTTACATCATGACATCATCAAGTGTACAAGTGCCCATAGTCACTAAGACACTAAGCGCACTGGGATGTGTGATTATCACAACCTGAAATTATTGTCAATGAACAGAAATTTTGTCTTACCTGCAAAAATAACCATTCCAAAGCACCAGTCTGTGTTTCTCAACACACATCCTCGCAGAAGCATCTGTTCATTATTAAGGGAGTACTTATTATCTTTCCAAAGAAGAACTCCTATGAATTTATCTAGCTTGTTGTTAGGAGTTTCACAAACAACTTCCCCTGTAAAAAGATAAATTAAATTATCATCACTCATTTAACACATTATTCACCAATATAAAATTTTACACTAAAAAGGAGTTTCTGGGATACCTTCTTCTACTCTAGTCAAAAGACTGGAGAGACTTTTTACATAAGACTGATCAGAGCTTTACCACACTTTACAACCTAGGAGGGCACCCTTTGTATCCCATTCACTACTAGTTTTATTGTTTGTATTGTACTGTGCCTACAGGCCCCAGCAGATACCAGGGTACCATTGCTGTAGGCATCATACTAAAACACACAGTGAGAAACTGTTACTTTCCCAAAGAATTTAACAATCTAAATGGGGTGGAGGGAAGAGAAGGGACAAGCACATAAATTATAAGTAATTTGTCAGCAGTCACATGGCAGGTGAGTGATAAAACAGGAAACATATTTAAACTCTCTCAAGTCTCAGCCCGGTGCCTTATCTACAAGCTCAAACTGCTTCTCACTAATGAAACAGCTAGCAATACCAGAAGTGAAACAGGACAGCTCTGTATCCTATGCAGTGGTGGTGGCTATTTTTGCATCCCTCCTTCCCCACCCCAGTTATGCTGCTGAGCAATACTGATGTTAATTTGGCCTATTAATACAAAGTAGCTTTTTGTACTGTCCTATGGGAGTCTGTCTACAACCATATACTTCCTGCCATCAGGGCCTTCAAAGTCTGCAACAAACACATGGCAAACTAAGTCTCTGGCTGATACTATTATTCTTCTTCATCCATTTGGTCAAGACCACTGACTAGTAATACCGAGGAGCATGATATTCCTCTCAGCCACAGATAAAAGCCTGAAGTTAAACTCCACAGACTATGAAACAAACCAAGAAAAAGAAAACTGATCACTGAGATCCATATCTTTGCCTTTTAAACAGAACAGATTCTAAATCGTGGAGGTAGTGACCTTCATGCTTTAGGCACTAGACCTTTTGGTTTGCTGGCCAAGAATTCTTATCCTCCAGAGCAGTGGTTCACAACATTTTTTATACTAGGACCCATTTGTAAACATCAATGGCCAGTCCCCACCCAGTGCCTCTCACTCCTGACCTACTGCCCTGAGCTCCCCCGGTGTGTGGGGCACGAGGCAGCCCCTTGCAGGCTGGAACTCTGACAGACTGCAAGGGAAAAGCCATGGTTTCCAAGTTTTTGTCCATTTTTAAAGTTTGTTCATGACCCTTTCATATATTCTCACATCCCACCTTTGAATCATGACCCACAGGTTGAGAAACACTCCTCTAGAAAAACTTTGTTACCAAGAGAACCCTAATGAAACAGCTTTATCGTAGCTTTACTATTACTCTTTGAATATAAAAAACTACTCCCCAGGAATAACTACATTGCATTAAGAGTGGAAAGATGTCCCTGAACTCTGAAAAATTTCCTACCAGAATTCCCCTTAAGATCTTCCCATAAGTAGAATGTAGCCTTTAAAACAAAATTAAATCAAAAAAATACCTCGGCCTGAAAATTGGGTCTCCAGATAAGTGCAGTACATGTTTAACCAGGATACAGCTTGTGTTTATTTAGAGTGTATAGGAATGCCAATGATTCTTTTCAGCAGTCATAGGTTTTTTTCCCTCTTCTTTCTACTTTTGTTTAATTTGTTCCATGGTCCTGATTAGAAAATGCTCAAATTTGGAAAAAGCAGTAAACATACAGTACTGTGCTGCAGATGGTGAGATATTCTAAAAGGATTCCATTAATGGCATCTTGCACATCATGTGATGTAAAGCAAAAACAAGCTCTTGTTGCAGCCAACTGGGATCAGTACTGCTGGAGAAAAAACAGAAATGGCAGCCTACAGCTTGGAGGAAAAGAAAACAGTGTGATGGAAGAGGCCACCCACATATACAGAGGTGATATATGTACAAATTAAGTGCCCTGGTTTTGGTCACTTTTCCCAAATTTACAAGGCATCTGTCCTTAATTCACAGGCCCTGAGGGTTGAGAGTTTGAGCCCTGCATAAAATGTAAAAACTGAATTGTACAGGACAATGCAAGACTGCTAAACTCTGTGCAACTTAACATATTGTGCAGTGACTTACTTACTATTATGAAACCTCATGCATATTTGGTTTCACCAAGCTAACTAGATGTGTAATATTTAGCTATAGTAAAAGAGGAGTTCTTTCATTTGCAGACTTTCATAAGAAATGTTTCCTGTATTTTAAGATCACTCACCACGCTGTATTAACTTCACCCAACCATTAATTTTCCTTTCTGACAAATTTTGTTTTCAACTTGAAAAACACCACTTTCAGCATGACCTCTTAAAAACAATGGCTTTGTTCTACAGTTATGTCTGAGTTTACTCATATTCCTATACTCTAGGATTTAGAAGTTGAATGTTAAAAAATTTGCTCCAAGCTAAACTTGGCATAAATTGTATAGTGCCTGCCTAAGAAGGACCTGTTTTAAAACCCCTAATTTGAGATACCATTTTAGGGTAAAATCTTTTAGCAGGTTGTTGCCTATTTGTCTCTCAGAATGGATACCCCAAAGATCACATTTTCCCCTTTCTTCCACTCTTAAATGCAAAGTTGAACAAAGTATGTTCTCTTCTCCCTAATTCCAGGTGGCACATGCAATGATAATATATGATGAGATATGCTGTTTTCACACTTTTTCCAGCCAAACCAAACTGAAAAATTAATATAGATCTTCTTACAAATCTGTTTTTGCAAGATCTGCAACACAATGTTTAGACAAAGAGTCTTAGTTTCAGTTTCTTAAATTTCAGAAAATCACCATGAACTTCAGAGCTCTTACATGAATAAAGCTTTTGAAGTGTATTCATTATTTAGTCTACCTAGTATAACTCTTTATACCATGCTTTCCACAGTGGTATCTGAATACACAACCAAAGCTTGTAAATTATCTTGATAGCTTAACAAGTCTAGACAAAATCTGCTTGGCTGATCTATTTCTCAGTCTACCAAGATCTATCTATTAACTTGTCATAATGCTGCCCTGAAACACATGAATTGGTTCAGGGGATAAAATAACTCTAAAGATCTTTAAAGTTGACAGAGATCACAGAACTGCTCTTGTAAAGGCATGGGCCCTAATTTTCCTAACAATATTAATTTTGCTTGTGAATTTGCTTATGATGAAAGAGAAGTTTTTTTCATAAAAGTAACCAAATCCCATTTGAACATATGAAAAGAGCTGTAATATATTATTGGGAATGTATTTTTAATATCAGTTATACCTGAGAAAAATGTTTTAAAAAAAATTAGAACCTCACACACTTTTAACTTCTTGAATACCGAGTAGTTCAGTACAATTAACAGGACAGTATTTGTTAGTGATTAGAACAAGAGACCAAAAGTTCAGATTCCTGAGTTTTATCTTCCTCTCTTTCCACAGATTTTCTCTGTCAGCCAACTAGCCTCATCACACGTTACATTTAGCACATGCTAACTACTTAAAACACTAGCATCCAAGTGTTCAAGCAGTAAAACATACTAAATGCCATGTAGTGTAGCAAAGTTAGGACTTTTCTGGGGAGGAGTACATTCAGATTGTATTATTGAGCTAACATCCAGCTGCTCCATGATCAGGAAATTCCAGTGCCATGCTGAGACGGGGACATAATGATCAGTGGTTTGTTGGTCCCAGTTTTCCTATGGCACCAGAATCTTGAACTGGCTCTGATGCAGTGGGGTAGCTAGTACTGTACAGACAAACAGTTGAGGGTTTTTTGTCAATCCCAGTCTCCCTAACACAATGGAGCCAATTCATGACTGACTGTCAGTCCCACCCCCTTACTGTACCAAAGCCAGCAGATGAAATTCAGTGCAGTTACCCATTGGCGACATGTACAAGACACATGCAGGTACAGTTGTACCTCCTGCGATTGGCCGCCACCACTGCCAGCAGTGCCTGTGGGTGGTCACTGCTCACCAGCACCTGCCCCACACCACCGACATCTGCAGGCAGTCGCCGATCACTGCTGCTCACCGCTGACATTGCCAGCAGCGTCTGCGGGTGGTTGCCGACCTCTGGTCAATGCTCACTACCCCCTCCCCTCCCCTGCTGCCAACACTGCTGTGGCCGCCTATGAGAGCTCCCCTCTCAGCGCTGCCACACATCCACCGCCACTTGTGGGTGGTCACTGTGCCCCACCCAGCCTCTGGGGGCATGCATTGTTCATGCAGTTATCCATGTAAAGTGATGCACGTGGGCAAAAATAACCCAAGTTTACCTACACTATGATGGGTGCTACATTAGTTGTTACCACACAGAGAAAACATCTGGGAGTCATTGTAGACAGTTGACTAAAAACATCAGCTCAGTGCTCAGCAGCATCAAAAAGGCAAACAAAATGTTAGGGATTGTTAAGAAGGGAATTATGAACAAAACAAAGTTTTATTATGCCCCTTTATAAATCCATGGTACATCCACACCTTAAATACTGTACCCAGTTTTGGTCCCCACACCTCAAAAAAAAATACAGAAGAACTAGAGAAGGTAGAGAGAAGGGTAACAAGGATGATTAATGGTATGGAGGGGCTTCCATGAGGAGGGACTACAGAGGCTGGGCCTATTCAGTTTAGAAAAGAGGCACTTAAGGGGGTACATGATAAGATTTTACAAAATTCGAAACAGCGAATGGAAAGTAGATAGGGATTTACTATTTACTGTCTCTCACCATACAAGAAGTAGGGGTGACAAAATGAAACTAGGAGGTGGTAAGTTTAAAACTAACAAAAGAAAGTTCTTTTTTCACACATCATGTAATTAAAGTATGGAACTCATTACCACAAGATGTTACATAAGCAGACAGATTCAAAAAGAGATTGGACAAATTGTTGGAGGAAAGGTGCATCAGTAACTATTGAGCATGGGATTTAAGGATACAGCCTCTGATTCAAAACTTCTTAGACCTCAAATGCTGGAGGCTACATGTGGGAGAGGAACAGTGGAAAAACCCTGGTTATACTCTGTTCGTTCTCCCTTTCAGCATCCACAC